TTATTTTGAAGGTTTAAAAAAATCTCCAGCTGTGCTTGAAAAGCTCTTTGTTTAGTGGAAACTAATCCAGCTGCTGTAAGTATTTCAGATTTTGAATGAGAAGTGATTAAATGAAGAGTAGAATAGAATAGAATTTATTACCATTTGCACAGATGTATAAGCACATTGGAATTCTTCTGTTTCTCCAAATATTTAAAAAAATAGAAAATAAATATAAGATAAAATGGGCACATAAAATCAGAAAGCTATTAGGATGATGTTAGCATGACTGTAGCATGACTGTGGCTTGACCTTAGCATGACGATAATGTTAGCATGATGTCAGTATGACATTATCCTGAATTGCTGTGCATCAAATGCCAAGTTCAGTCTTACAGAAGGCTGCAGGAGGGTTTATTTTAGTGAACCTAACAGGTAACATTGTTGCCAGCCCCCATTCCACATGACCATGCCACCCTGAGTGGGAAGCCATATCTCTAATATCATGAGCTGGCTCTGGAAGAAAAGCTATTTGCTTCTGGCTGATTTGTGTTATTTGGTCATTCACCTTTGATTTGATTTGAGTTTTGATCCACACTGTTGTAGAACTATCAGACTAAATCCCATTCTCCACCAACTACATTACATTACACTACATGCCAGATGCCTCCTGCCTGGTAAAGGCAAGCCTATTATTAGCTCCCATCAGAGCTCTGGTTCAAAATTAACCTTCTTCATGCTGCAGATCTGATACAACCAAAGAAATCAGAAGAGGTTGGATGAGCCAAGATAAGAAGTATAAAACTACTCGATCCGCGCTCATCCCGCATTAATCAAGGAATCTCAGCTGACAAGTCACTTCTATCATCATCCTGCTGCACCTTCAGAGGTGATATTGAAGCAGTTACTATATTCTGCTTTATTATAGCTTTATCAAATCCCCCTGACTGTTGCAGCAATAAATGATAAGAACTCGCTACAAGTCAAGATCAATCTTTAATTTGAAATGAAGTGCATCAGAACCAAAGTGAACTGGCAGATAAAGTTGACAGCGAGGATGTGAATTTACTATGAAAAGCTAAAAGATGTGATGTGTTTACTGACGTGGGTAGAGTATCCAAAGACTGCACTGATGAATAAAAAAAGTAATTGGTCAAAAATCTACTCTGGTCCTGATTGATCAAAACATCAAACATTTAATATTTTAAAATTACATCAGTAGACTCACCAGAATGTAAAATTATTTGTACATTGAGGTATTTTAATGACCAAAATTGAAATAATTAATATAAAAGAAATAAATTAAAATATTAATATAAAAGAACATAGTGACAAATGACAAAATCAGGGAAAAGAAAACAGTTCTCCAGATAAATTTCTTTCAATGTAAAACTTATGAAACTTTAACAAAGCTTGTAGGTGTGTGTCTGGTGGATTTTTGGTCAAAACAAGTTTGTTCTTAATTCAGTGAAGTTACTCAAATAAGAGTAGAGATACTTCTACTTCTGCTCAACTCTGTGCATTTCATGCTGATGCCTTTTCTCAAGTTTTCTAATGTTTCTCCATCCTGCAGGTTATTTTTTAAAATACAAAATAAAAACAAAAAGTTCAGCAGGATGACCACATCTTTTGTGGAACACCTGAGAGAATGCCATGAAAAGCTTCAGTCCTCCAGTCGTGACAGCCTGCGGTTGCTATGCCAACACTCACCTGGCACCTGGACTTTGGGCATGGCGGCGGCGTTGCAGAAGTCGCTTCCTGTGGAAAGGAGAGGAGGTCAGTGCGCCGGAGTGAAGCCCCCTGCGTGGAGCCGGCTCAGTTAAATCGAGTCTGTCTCACGTGTCCGCAGGACGCGCTGCGCCCCACATGAACGTGCCTTCATGTAAGAGGGGGCGGGGGGGGGGTTGCCATCTATTTTAGGGTGTCTGTGTGCACCCAGGTTCACTGACAGGCATAATGTTTTCATAAAGTGATGAGTGTGCGTGTGTGTGTGTGTGTGTGTGGCAGTCCGTGTTACATAACATCCTAACAGCAGCAAGGGACAGTAAAGCTGATTGGTTGGTGCTCAGCTGATATTTAATGGAGGGTCATAAAACACCTTGGTGACCAATAAAAAGAGAAAGAATGAAGAATCCTGCTGAAGTTTCCAGGAGAAATTCAGAAAATATTGTCTCATTTTTTGTGACTGTTTAATTTTGATCTGAAAAATCTGTTTATTATGGTTTACTTGGGTTATTCTGATTTTCCATCCATCTTTGGAAAATCAGAAGCCCACAGCTCATCTGTGGGACTTGTTGCCTTCCTAAACCAGCAGCATTGCTTCTAGAATGAAGACATTCTTGAAATACTCTGTCTTGCCTCTTGAACTTCTCTTATTTTGTAGGACAACAAACTTTAATTTGTGTTAGTGAATTTTGATCACCACACAGATGTGAGGAGGATTGAGAGTGATATTTGTTAATATGTTTTTAATAATTAAAATCTGAAAAGTGAATCTGTCTCTGTCTGCTGTCAAATAAAGTCCAGTGAAGCTAGCTGACTTTGAGAGTCTGATCATTATTAAGCAGGATAAACCTGTGTGGATTTAATCCCAGATTAAATGGAGCTTTTATGTGAAGTATTTCTGGTTTAGTTTTCAGTACACATTTCTTACAAGTAGCTTTTTAGCATGATGTACATCAATAATTATTTAATATTGATTTAAAAAATGTTCTAAATAAAATGATTGAAAGTGTCATAAATGAAATAATCAGCCAGTGGAACAAGAACTTTTTCCATCAACATTAAGGAATTATTTACTTAAAACAAGCTCATGTATCTTGCTGAAAAACTAACTTAGTTTTGTCTTATTTCAAGTGTACTAAGATATCTGCACTAGAAACTGGACCAAAAATACTTGGTAAGATTCAGTGTTTTTGTAGTGCAGAGTGTTGGAGAGCACTGGAAAACGAACAGCATCACATAGACCAGTGGTCCCCATAGTGGGTCCTGGAGGCCCGGCATCCTGCATGTTTTAGTCTCTCCCTGGGTTAGCTCACCTGGATCAAATGATGGCTCATTAGAGGTCTAAGAAGAACACTGACATGCTGAAAAGGTTGTTACTACCACCAGGGAGAGAACTAAAACATGCAGGATGTCGGGCCTCCAGGACCGACTTTGGGGACCACTGCTCTAAACCGAAAGAAGCTGCCCTCGTAACTCTGAAAGAGCTGCACAGTACCACGGCTCAGGAGGGCGACTAGATCAAAAGGAAAACTGAAGGTGAAATAAAGCGATGAGAAGTTTTCTTTGCAATTTACTTTAAGACTGCAGTCTTTCATATTAAACCATAGTTATGCAAAATAATGAATGTAGCAAAAACTGAACAATACAATTAATCACCCTGAAAACACAATTTCCACTGCAGGGTGGTGGCAGCATCATGCTATTGGGTGTGTTTCTTCAACAGAGAAAGGGAAGCTGGGGGGAGTTGATGGGAGCTGAACTCAGGGCAGTCTGGGAAGAAAACCTGCTGGATGCAGGAAAAGACTAATTAAAGCTTCAGCAACAGAAAACATAAACTCAGCGCTCAAATCAAACCACAGGAGTTAGAAGAGCCTACTCAAAGTCCAGATGCAATTGCAACTGAAATCACAAGAGCTGATGTCAGTATTAAATTCCTGACTGAACTCAGGTTGTTTAGTAACAATACATCAGTAAAACATTCAGTTTTTAAATATAAAATACTCTTCTACAAAGTATTAACAGCACACGTTAAAAGTTTAATTTGTTTTTTTACAAACATTCTCCCTCTACTTCACACTTAAACACAACTGTTTTGATGTATTACACTGAATCCTAATGAAATACATTGTTTGGGATTACACTTTGACAAAAAAAAATATGAAAAGGTTAAAGGGGGATGAAAACGTTCGGTAGGTAGGTGGTCCTAACTCCTTCCTCCACACATTTACTTATTTCATTGAAAAACAGCATTTTAATGTTTCTGGTTTGCTCAGATATGACAGAATATTTGCAGACATGCTGTCCTCTCATCCTGTGTGCTGCTTGAGAACACTTCACTGAACATCTATTTTTAGTTATGCAATCCTAAATGTCAAAGGTCCTCTTCCAGTACAACTTGTTAAAGAGATCAGGTTAGAAAAGACCAACGAATCGGGTCACTTTTCAAATACTGAAAAGTAATTATGTTTTTTTTCCTTTTTAATCCTAAATCAGAGGCAGATCCTAAATATTTTTGAAACCTCAATTGGAAAGTTTTTACTGCAGTAAATTCCAGGCTAAAACTTCCAGTCTGTTTCATAATCAGATTTTACACATCAGATTCTGACTGTACCATCTGAACAAAAAAACTATGTTCAACATTATATTTTTGTTCCAATGACTCATTTACTAAAATCTGACTAGATATGTCCCAGTTATCTTCATTGTACTTCATCTGAAAATTAAATCTTAAAGTTGCAGACAGAACGTTTCCTGTTTGGCCTCAACATTACAAAAATGTAACACTGCGCAATTACAAAAAGATTTACTCCAGGTAACTGAAATGACAGCTTCTCTGAAGAATCTGTCTGGACGAGATCAGACTGTTCCTGACCGTGAAGTTTAGACCATAAGACCCATGTTTTACAACCAAGTGAGGCGTTCAAGTTCATGCGGCTCATGTTACCCTGATTCTCCCTTAGCCGTACTGTGAGTACTGGATTACAAGGGTTTTCCCTCTACTGCTCAGGAAGTCGTAAAGGTGAAAACAGCAGCATAAACAAAGTTCCTTCTCTTCATGCTGAATATTCCACAGTGCAGACATGAACAAGTATTAAAAATGTTTTTCACTGTAATTGAATCAAACCAGCATAATTTTTAATGAAGCAGAACCACCGCCTTGAGCACCCCACCTGTGGTTTTCTGATCCCCTCAGCCCACAAAAAACCGTCTGGACTGGGTTCCCTCTCTGTAAATCTCTCATTTCTGTTGGGCAAGATAAGTTCTAAGAAGAAGAGGAGAGGTTGTTTTTCTACCATCTTTGAGGCCTTTGCTAGCTCAGATCTATTAAATTCTGCTGAGTACTTCTCAGTACTATGATCGCCAGACAGAATGTTCAGTTCACTTAGGAGTGACTTTCAGTCTGTCTTTAACCTGCAGAGGTTCAGTTAGCTCACCATTATGATGGTGACAGTGTGGCAGTAAACCCACTGACTTGATGCTCTGCTGTCTGTCCTACAGCTAGCCAACCACAGCTACGTCTGTTGGTTTCATCAGTTCATCCAGAAAATAACTTGTCTTAAAGGGTTTGCTTGATCTTTAATTATGGATTTCAACAATATTTACCATGTTGACAAGATATTTTACTCATAGATATCCTACATTGGCTACAGTTCTTTAATGTGGTTTGATTTTTCTTGATGGTGCATCTTTCAAACATATCATTGTGTGCGTGCGTGTTAGGACTTTGGTGTGAATTGAGTTCAGGTTAGGTTTGAGGTTAGCCAGGTACCGGTAATGGTTTAAGGTCAAGGTATAGAAATGAATGAGAAATTAATGCAAATGCTTGTGAAAATAGAAAGACATACTTTGGTGTGAGTACTTGTTTAGTTATTGTATTTAGGACCATTACTGACATATTTACTAAACTTCTCTAGACCAGTGGATCTTATGGGGACCAAAGCCCAGTCACAGTAAGGTGGATCACTGGTTTGGGGTTGGAGGTAAGTTTTTAAAGACCTGGGGTACGAATTAGGTTGTAGGATGTGTTATTCCTCAGAGCTAACCCTCAGAGCTAACCCTAGCTCTGAGGAATAAGGGAATGCACAGATCAGGCTGGACAGAGTTGGAGGTTGTTTACATGTTCTGTTTGACTTGCTATCACGCTTCCTGTTGAAAAGATAAAAAGGAACACCCAGAGCTATAAAACATCTCTGTTAAAAATAAATAAATAAACCAAAACAGCAAAAGATAAGCCATGCCATTCTAATGTCACAAACTCAGCCAAATATTTTGGAAAAAATACAGTGGATCACAAGATAATTCAAAATGTGTTAAATTAAACATAAAAATGATGGCCATCTCTGAATTTACAATTTGAATTTGCTATAGACATGAGGCAGCTGCTGATGTGAATCATTTTTCCTGAGTATCATTTTGTTTTGTTGCACAACATAAAAACCCAATCCATTAAAGATTCTGTTTGTACCATTATGAAATGGTATCCCAGTTCTTAATCATTAGTGTACGAGTCCAACTGCAGACCAGGTATTCAAACAGGTGCATGTGGAGATTCTGTGTGGTGTAAAAAGGTCCAAAGCAGATTTAAGAGTCTTGTATTTCCATGTTTTTTCCCACCACCTTCTAGTGTTATTGTGCTCCAGGGTGAGGTACTAACCCCCATCAGTCTGTGTACTGGTGTATGAATGTGTGTGTGAATGTGGCTCAAGTGTAAAGTACTCTCAGTGGTTGCTATGAATTTGCTATAGACATGTAGAAAAGTAGAAAAGTCACATATAAATTCAGTCTATTTATATTCCCCAGTGTTAAAAACTTGTCCACAGAACTGAGAAAAAGACTGAGGCAAACCAGACAAAAGCTTCAGATGAGCTATAAAGCTTCCATTAAGACAGCAGTAGCGGTAACTACTATTTGCTGCATTCAGTGTTTGTGTTTTCTTTTTTTCTAAATGCTAATCATGCAAGATGGGTGGGATCTTAAAGTGTCCCTAGTGGAAGCTGCCTTAAGGAATTTTAATGAGCTTTAATTGCTCTGCTGTTCCTCTCGGCCACAACATCCATATCAAGACTGAGCAGGTCCGAGGATCATTTCTACAGACGGAACAACCAGGTAGGTCTCTATGATTCTCTTAGCAAAGCTGTACTAACAAGATGACTTGCTTTGGTAAAGAAAGATTAACCCACTTCCAGGCCAGTCCCAAACATGATGGACTGATAGATTACTGTAGCGCCATTAAGGGTCATTAAACTGTCTCCACAACTTCCTCAAGAGAAACAACAAGGTTCTCCATTTAGTCAGAGAGCAACTCTTTTACAGATCAAGAACTGGGCAGAATGGAAGTGAAGGTGTCTGTCAAAGGCATCCCACGTGTTGTGTGTGGAGTTACAGAGGAGACAACGTGCCAAGACGTGGTACTAGTGTTGGCTCAATCTCTTGGTAAGTATCTTTATGAGTCCACACACTGCTGAAACTATGTCAGATGTGTTGGCTAAACACCGTCGCTGTCCTTTTTCAGGGCAGCCAGGACGCTATGCCTTGCGAGAGAAGTTCAAAGACTTTGAGCGGTGCATGACCCCCAATGAACGACTTCTGGAGACATTGAAGAAATATGGGGAACAGGCCAAGGAGGTCCAGCTCAGTCTCCAACACGGTGGGGTCTCCGCTTGGGATGAAATGGGCAAAGTGAAAGTTGGCAGATACCAGCCTTGTCCGCCACTGAGACGGAAAGACGTTGGGTCTAAAATGCGGAGAGGCAGCGGTTCCCTAAGCTTGCACCGCCAAAGTTTGCCTCCATTGACCTGTTTGAGAGAAGAGGTCGAGCAGAAGAAAGATGCTCTGAAGATGCCTAGAAGAAAGTCTCTGACTCTCATGGAGGAAGCCTGGGAATGGCTGGAAAGTCTTGGCAAAGGAAAGGTCTACAATACGACTTGTGACAAGCCAAGGAAGAAGAGGATTGATAAAAGGGGACGGGCCTCTTTGGATTTGTCCCTTTTTGCCACAAAAGAACATCAAGATCAAAGCAGCAGAGGTATAGACAGAGGTCAGAAAAGTTCAAAATCAGACTTTGACCATCAAACATCCTGCTGCATCAGTAATCAGACCAAGGAGAAAAGCAGGCGCTCAAAGAACACCCAAGAGGTAAAATCTGACCTGAGCACCTCAATCTGCACACCGGCAACCCAAGATGAGAAAAATCGTCTTAGAGACTCAATCATATGTCAGCTGCTGTGCTTGCAGGATTTACAAGTCCAGATAACAAACACAGACAAACAGATTTTGGACCTCGAGCAGAAGCAGAAAGCTAAAAGAGCTGAAGAAGAAGTCCAAGAGAGGCTTGTGGCTGAGGAGATGGAATACATCAAATTTTGGGAGAATGAACTGAAAGCTGAGGAGAGTTACGAGAAAGATTTGCAGCGTCAGTTCCTCGAGATGAGAGCCAAGGCTGCAGATTGCAAAGCTAAACTGGAGGAGTACAGGCGCAAAATGCAGGGCTTGGATTTTTTTGGCAATCTGAACATTGCTCAAGAAGACCGGAGGGTTTTAGAAGCTCGTGAAAAAGTCGCAACCAAGATATTCAACAGTTCAAAAAAGGAAGAAAATCTGGAAGGATCCGAGGCCAGTGTGGAAGGAAATGTCAACAGGAAGTTCCTGCCCAAAGAAGAGCACAGCACCCCTCATGCTCTAGTTCCTCCAAATCAGATAAGAGAGCGGCGGCCCACGGGACCCACCGAGCTGAGGGAGTGGTGGAAGCGTTGGTCAGAAGCTCAAAAGGCTCAACCCCAGGATGAAAGGAAGGTGATCCACCGCTCTGAGCTCACCATTTACCTGAGGGGTACCAAGGTTTAGGACCAGCTCACAACGATCCAAACTCCCGTTTGTGACATCACCATGAGATCTCCACCAGGACATCTTCAATGAACCAGAGCAACATTATTCTGCTTTCACTGCTATATTATCCTTCGCATGACAACAGGTTCATGTTTACACTCTAAAGGCTTTAACTGCCATTCTTATGCACCTGGAACTTTGTGAATCACCAAACACATAACTGATTCTCTAATTTTACTTGTGTGTACTTTGTATCCAGTACTTTCTGAACCTGTTGGATTACGGATTAAAAGGAGTGAATTTTAAAAAGAGCGCTTTCTTGACAAGTGTGTATTAATAAGCCCCAGTTAAGGCTTAAATGTACAAAAAAGTACAATTTAAACTATATTCTCAGGTTATCTTTGATATTAAATTCTGTATTATGAAACATTTAAAAATAAAAATCAACTCCAAGATTGCAAATACTTTTTCACAGCACTGAAAAAGTATTTTCAGTGCTTATCTGAAAATAAGTTTTTGTACTAATTTTACATTTAATTTCAACCATTTCCAAGTCTTAATTTTCACATTTTATTGTGTAGTTTATTTCATTTACAGCTAGTATTTGCATGGTAAGAAAATATTTTCCTGCGTATAGCTTTTGGTTGCCCGGGTCATTCAGTCACCACAAGGTGGGGCTGCAGTGCCTTCCTTAGATTGCTGCGCTTTGATACAAAATAAAGCAAATAGACATGGAATGCATGTCGAGTTCCACCAAAGCTTCAGAATATGCCATGTGACCAGACTTCACAAAAGAAACGTTTTTCAGAAACGACAAATCCTTGAATTTCATAAAACTTTATTCAGTTGTTTCATTCAAGACCATTAACAAAAGTACATGAGAACCTCAGTACACGGTTCAACTGAAAACCTGTTGATCAAAGAAAAAAAAAAAAAGAAAAAAAAAATTCAGATCTGACAGCAACTTTATGTTCAGAGGCACGACAGCTCATCCTTTTGTCTCCAGAGAACAACAACTGAGATCCTGATTCAGTTTGTTTTTATTTGATTAAATCAGAATTTCTCACAGATAACCCTTCTCCTTAGTTAAATTATATGTGAAATTGGGAGATTAAACCCAGAGAGGGGAAAGAAAAAAAAAAAAAAAAAAAAAACCAACACACACAAGATACAGTATAATTCAACCCACAGGTTTGGGATGCATATTTGTATTATTTCTACTAGGGGAAAAAAAAAGCCACCCTAAGATTGTTTTCAATATTTTGGCGGTTGGCTGGGAAGAAATGCATCTAATTTTTATTTATTCTTTTGTCGTTTTATTTTGTTTGCAGTTTTAGGCACCTTATATTTATTCAATATTAGCAGATCAAGTTTCAATAATAATAAAATAAAATAAAAAAAAATAAAGCAAAATTATGTGCAAGAAAGGAAATAGTATAAAAGAACTGCAGATATAAGATGCCACAAGGAATTCTGCACCTGGGAAAAACTTAAGTGGAACATGTGAATAACAAGAAGGCATGTCAAGGCTCTAGACTGGTAAAGGTAACTTCCTTCAGAGAAACTACTTTGACATTCACATACGTCACACTCACGCCATGCTTTTATACTCCAGCCTTTTTCAATAAAGCATTTTAAAAACTGCTCAAAAAAACCGAGCAGAGATGAATCCTCAAAAGTTCGCACATGTATGAAATATGATCCTCCTTATGGAGGGAACCATTGCTTTAAGCGTTTTGTAGGAAAAAAGTACACTGAAGAAAACTTGGTAATCAAAAGTTTTCCAGTACGTAAAGGAGCGATGAACAGAAACGAAGCAGAGGTTTAAAGAAATGCCAGAAAAAAAAAAAAAAAAAATAAAAAAAAAAAAAAAAAAAAAACTCATCTTACCCAGTCAGACTAATGGACCGATTACAGGTGCAGAATTCCAGACGAAGCGGACTTGGAAAAAGATCGGGACGCTGACAGCCACGCAGTCAGTCGTCAAACGGACTTAGAGGGACAAGGCCCCTTAGGAACAAATACCTCCAATTGACATTAATCTCTTCTAGATTACATCTCTCTCTCTCTCTCTCTCTCTCTCTCTCACACACACACACACACACACACACTCTGAACCCAGAGACAATCATGGAGAGGAGGAGGGGACGTTCCCTTACAGGTGAGGGCAAAGGATTACACATGCCACTTGTTGCATGCGCGCGTTATATTTCATGGATGAGTTGGTTCACAAGCAGTATGTCAGATTGGTTTCCCTTATTGCCCCCTGCTGTTTCCCTCAGGGACTGCATCCCTCCAAGGCCTGATGGGGCTGGCTGCGTATTGCTCAGTCAATAACTCCAGGCTGCCGAGTCTTCCGCTCCACACTGAAGCCCTGCACAACATGGAGAAAATCTTATCAAGTTTGTTTCAATGAGAATATCTTTGACTCATTTTTGACTCAAATCTGACTTTTAAAAATCACAGTAAGAAAATTTCAAATGTCATAAAATTCATTTTAGTAAACTTCCGTTAAACAAGATCTTTTCTCACCACATAGCTGGAGTTAATATGCAAGCAATAATTTTTTTCATCATATTGCACACTGTTATACAACCTGACCACATACTACTGCAATTCAAACCCATCATGCGTCTCTACAAGAGGACAAGAAAAACCTTTGAAACCAGTTTCATTATTGTAAAATCATTAGCATGCATTTTAAACCTAAATTCTTATCCAATATAATCATAATGTCTATTATTTTTCAAAGATTCATTTTCAGTAATTTCATTTAGATGATAAAATAAAAAAAGAACAAACCAGAAGAGACCGTAACATACTGAGGTGCAGAACACAGGTTAGCCAGAAGGTGGAGTCTGTTACACTCACATATTCATGGAACAAACAACCAGAAACAATGGAAACCAGGCACCTTTGAAATGGTGCAAACCAGTGATCCACCCATTCATATCTGCCACTGCTTATAGCAGTTAATTTTCTGATATTTGATGTTTTGGGACACTGTATTGTCCCTCACTTTACTTTAGTTTTTATGTCTTTTTAGGATGCTTGTACTTTCTGTAACATCAATTGCCACTTGGGAGTTGAATAAATCCGAACCTGTTTTTATACCGTTTATGTCTATTAGTTAGTCATTTCTTATGTAGATGTTTTTTGTTGAGGTTTTATTTTTATTTACTTTTAATAGAACTACGTGTGTATGGAGGACCAAAACCGACATAATAAAAAATAATAAATATATAAATAAAAGAATAAATATATATTTTGATAAGAAATAAAAGTATAAATATATTTTTGGAGTACCAAAACTGACATAAAAAGAAATGTATAAATAAGAATAAATATATAAATACAGGAATAAATAAAAGCATCAATATATATTTTGATAAGAAATAAAAACATAAATATATATGTAGTGTTTTCTTTTCCTTACACGAGTTTCCGTCAAGTAATGTATATATTTTCTTTTTCCATTTCCCCTAAACATGCGTTTTGTCAAGAAAAATTAATATTTTGCTTTGTCTTTTTTTGCGTCTCCCTTTTCCATTTGCTGTATTTCTGCTGCATCAATATGTTAATGAGGAGAGCTGTCCAGCTCCTCTACTATTGGCCAATAGAGCTTTGGAACCAACGTCACTGCGTGAGACGTTGTTGGGCGTTCAGCTCGCTCGGTGCATTCTTTACAGGCCACAGACTAAAACAAACTTTATCCCAGTGGTTTTAATGTGTTACCAACTGCAGTGACGTTAGTTGTGAGTTGGATATTCCAATGTCTGCCGAGAAAGCAGTGCTTAGCTCTAGTTTGATCCGATTTATGAACGCTAATGTCGGCCAGCTGTTCTCCAGCTCCCTCCTCAAACGCTCGGAGGTTCACTTTGGGCTGTCAACAAATTTCCGAACTGAACACTCCTGTCAACAAATGTTAATAAATGCAGGGTTTCCCCCAGTGTATTATAGGCCTGGCGGCCCACCATGCTTTACTAGCGCCACCTAGGCTAAGCCTTTGTTTTTTCTTCCCCCCCCTTCTAGGAAAATAAAAGAAAGAAAAAAAATTGCCTTTTTTTTAAGCCGGACTGCAAGTGTTTCTGTTGCTCCGAGCGTTTCACTATCAAAGCAGATTTATTGATTTATTCCTAAAAGATATGTTTATAATTTATGCATTTCTTGGTTAATGTCAAGTTGTCATAACAAAGACATTTTGAATAATGTC